ATCGCGAAAGGAAATTCCTGTGTTTCTTTAATGATTTTCTGCTGAATAGAAACTCAGGCTTCAAACAGAGAAATATTTCAGAGCAAGGAATGAATGGAGACCAGAGGATGGTTATTGCTTTTTAAAGGAAGCCATTAATATGAGATAATGCTATTAAGAGGCAAAAGATCTACGTATACTTCCTCCGCGCTGACTTGGGTGACTGAGTGGTGACACTACAGGAATGACATTCTTCCAGTCTTTGCCAGCGAGAAGTCCGTTAGCCAGCTGGGCTGCCTCAGCGCTGCACCACCGACTGCTGCCCCTCTTACAGACGCTACTCCCTGCAAGGTAAGAGGCAGGCACACAAAGATCTGGAGATAGTTATTTTCAGCCTAGCTTCGATTTAATGATTAAAAAGCTCGGGGTCTTGCTGTTACTTCATTCTTTAATAGGGAACATCAGCACAAGCCACGAGTGTATAGTTCTGGCATCTTACCAAAGACTAATAAAGGACAGGTAACTTGCTGGCCCAGCGGGACTTTTTCCATATTTAATAAAGCGCGACCTACGCGGTTTGGAACGGAGACGTGTCTCTACATGCCACGCTGAAAAGCTCACACAGATACTGTGAAATGAAGTTCTAGCTCTTCGTTAAGCACCAGAAAAAGCAGATTTTGTGCAGAGAACTGAAACCGGAGCCAGAGAAACAAGAAATGATGCCTTCTTAACCTCTGAGCAAGACAGCCACAAACCCCAACGTGCTCCATTTCAAGAGTCAGCAACACCACAGACAGTGCCAGCCGCGCTCTATTCTCTCTCCTGGCTCCCCTTCTGTATCCCTCTGCACAACTCCCAGGGCGTGGACTTCCTGCTTTCCCATGGTTTTGCCACTTTAGTAGTCTCCCCTAAAGAGCACATAAACCTGCCGATCACAGTTTTGTGGCTGCAGGTAGCCTTTACTGAAAAAAAAGGTAACAAGGAATTTAAATCTTGAGGCACAGAGGCTTTAAAACAGCTGTTTATTACTACAGTGAAATAGTAAAACAAAACCACCAACTTTTTATGGAAACAATAAAAGTGCAAATGTATTTTGATATTAAATAGGAAATGAATTTATAAACGTTTCATTAAAATGGGCTGACACTTTGAGCCTATAAACACTTTTAAAAAAACAAAAAAACCCAAAAAACAATAGCAGCTAAACACTTTAGTTTAATCTTTGGTCTGATTATTAACCAGCAAAAAAATAGTTGTACCAAGAATGTCCATTGCAAACAGACATTTAAAATTTACATTACTCTGCAGAGATTCAAAATCAAGAGAGGAATGTTTTTGCGATATTTAGTCAGATAAGAAACAGTGATGTCTCTGAGAAATACACAGCATTTTTCAATACAAAACGAAGTCACACATATGCATTTTGTTACTGTAAATAAACTTATTCTCCTGCAGGTATGACTCCTGTTCCCAATCAATGTTCCATAAAAACTTCATTTGCACAGAGTCTTTGCAAAATAAGGCTGCAGATAAAGAGAACCAAGAACCCACATTAGTGCTAAATAACACGCACTTTCTTCTCTGTTTGCGTTTCAGTTTACACACACAGAGGCAACCGTGCTGAATCTATGGTACATTATAACAGTTACAACCTTAACAAATACATATTCATAACCTTGTTCTGTGTACAGTATCCATGGGTTGGGAGAAGAAGGAAAAAGGCCCATGGGATTACTCATGTAGGTCAAGTTCTCTGTACACCTCCTCGCAGGTAAGGCCCCATAATAGCTCCAGGACACTGCAGGTACCAGTGCTGTCACGTTGGTTGTGGAATAAGATGAATACCGTAACAGAACCCAACTTTTATCAGCTCCTTTTGTCAATTGTATTCACAAATGCATGCTTTACAGAAGACAAAGAAAATATACTTAATATCTCAACTGTACAACAAAGCCACAAGTTAGTCTAAGAGATTTTCTCAGACCTCCCACCAACTGCATGTACACTGCCTTACTGGCAGAAAGCCCCCTCTCCTCAATGAAGCTAGCCCAAGCCTAAGGCTAAAGCAAATGCATACATCTTCTCCCATCACCAGCCATCGCAAACTCAAAAACACCTTGCTCAGCAAGAACTCACACGGAAGATCTGCCTACAAGGCTAATGAACTGACGGTTTGCCTCACTGTTCAGCCCTGATGGATTCAACCACTTTGGAAATACTGTCAAAGCAAAACCCACTTACATCTCTTTTCCCTA